GAAATGTATAGACGGAGAGATAAGCAAAGAAGACGCAGGGAGTCTGGAGCGATCCCATTGGTTGAAATGGGTGGTTCCTATAGACTAAGGGAGAAAATGATGGACTTACTTTAGCGTCTCTCGTGGGTTGCCGTTAGTTAGTCTAGTACCCCCCTCTTTGTCCATTGCAACCATCTGCTTCCGCCAATAGAATCCCCCCATACCTCCTTTCGTCTTCTTTGTCTGTAGCTGTGTCTATCAATTTCAACAATCAGCCCGCTGACATTCCTCCTTGGCGTTTTGCGGACATTGCACGGAGAAAAAAACTTCGTGCGTGGGACCCGAAGTTTAGGTCATATGGATCTCTGAAGTTTTCGGTTTGAGCATCGGAACGCTTTAGGTCCAGCTGCTGAGGTTAATTTGGATCACACATCTGAAACTTTAGTTCTTACATCTGAAGTACTTCGGTTTTCACATCCGAAAAACTTCGGTTCTTACATCTGAAGCACTTCAGATGTAAGAACTGAAGTTTCAGATGTGTGATCCGAACCTTGACAGCTAGACCAAAAGTGTTCAGATGCTCAATCCGAAAACTTCAGAGATCCATATGACCTAAACTTCGGGTCCCACGCACGAGGTTTTTTTCTCCGTGTGGAAAACTCCAACGATGGAGTCCAACAGCAAATAGAACCCATTGAAGTCCATGGAGGAATTCTGGAACATATATGAACATACGAACATGTGAACATGCGTGTGAGTGAATGTGTGGAGATCGGCGATGCGGAGACTATTTATGCGTGCGTAAATAATCATTAACTTCATTCTTCACCGAACCGAGCAATCCCTTTCAAACGTGGTCTCCCCTTTGTTTATTCTTATTTATTTTCCCCACCGCCCCCCCTCCGCACGTCTGCGGGGAAATAAAATATGAGGCTATCGGTAATAATGGCAAGAGACGCTCCACTCATGTGACATTCCTCATCTTCGGGATATAATGAGTGATGTAACAACACGATCGCCCCATCAAAATGGACCGAAGCGATGCGACGACCGTACCAATGTTGCCGATTTTCATGGATTTCGTAAATTTCACTCGACTTTTTGACGAGTTATAGTCCATGCTTACTATTTTTGGAAAAAAATTGGACTAAAAATTAATTATTATTAACGCACTGGAAAAAAATTACAGCCGTGGGAGCCGTAATTACGAGATAAATACACGTACCGACCGTTCCAGGCTCAAATGCCGAAAATTCCGGCTGTTGGAGCCGTATGATTTCGATTGCTCCGGGCTCAGAGGTCGGAAGTTCCGGCTGCTGGAGCCGTAGTTCTGCCGGAACGGACGGTATGTCTAAATAGCTCTTAATTATAGCTCCCACGACCGGAGTTTTTTTTTTTCAGTGCACAAAATGTAAATCGAGCTTATAGACAATTTGAAACTGCGTCAAGGTTAACCGTGTACTCCAAAAATTGTGTGGTCATACGCACATGTTTAAAAAAAAAACCGGAAGTCATTTTTATGTTGGAAGAATTTACATGGACGTCTTTATGCTAAAAGGAACTGTATGCATAGGGCTTCCGTGCAACTTGAGTCATTTTAGCATGAATACGTCCACACATAAATGAATGTGCCTGTTGCAAACTTCCGGAAAAGCAAGAAGAAGAGTTCTTACTTGCAGAAAATGGCTTAAAAATCATGAACGCATCAAGAAAGTCGGAAATACACTCCTAACTTCACAATTTGCGTAGCACCTGTCTGAAGTTAATGCCTAAGAGGTGTCCAATGTTTTACATGTAAAATAATACAGCAAAAAGTGTACAAATCAAATGAGATTTTCAATAGTGAATAGATTTTCGCATGAAAATTAAGGGATTTTCCCGATCTATCACTCATTCTCTGATCCTCTCTGGACAACCGTTTGTTTTTTACGAAAATACACTCTGGCAACGGTGGAGATCTCGTGGAGGGTGGGGGCTGCAGACCCTGAAAGGGAGGGCGCGGGAGAGGGGAGGGGGGCATCTGAGAGGGAGCGTGGAGGGACGGAAAAACACGTCAATGGTCAAAGCTGAGAATTCCTGCGGAACAATTTTATCAGAATTATTCCGTTTTCAACGATATTAACTTGATTTATACCTGGTGGCGGCTTCATTCTCAAGTTGAGCGAGTCGTCGCGAAACAATGTCCTAAACAACATTTTTTTGCCTTTTCTTCGTAGCAGTAGTTCATTGTTTGAGGACGGTGGATTATTGACGTCTGTCTTATGAGCGAGCGAGTGCGCCTGCGCCTGCGATGCGAGCTGCTGTACTTGCAAAAACCGCGTATCTACACTGGAGTTTCATTGCACTTGGGTGGTTTCATTTGAGTATGGTTTGACGAATGGGGGATGCCGGCGTGCGTGACTTGGGATATGAGCCCCGCCAGGTTGCCGAATTCCAGCCAATGACGCCCTTTTATTCGTAAGCGCCGGTGAGCTGAGTATTGAAATTGATAGACAAAGCTATAGATAAATATGCAATACAAAGATGAAATAGAGCGATCTCATTGGATGAAGTAGATTTTATAGACTGAGGAGGAAAGTGATGGACAAGCTGTAGGAGTGGAGGATCTCTTGTGAGTTTTTTTTTAGTTATTAGTTAGTCTATTTCTTACCTCCTTTGTGCATTGCAACCGCCGAATGAATCGCTCTTTTTTCTCTTCGTTTTCTTTGTCTATAGCTTTGTCTTCAAAACTCAGCAGCGAACCCTTAATTTCCTCCCCTTATTGTGTTTCACGCGGTATAGCTGCTTCCAGCAAAATTCCTCATCAGAAATCTTAGAAAACTTCAGAAAACTTCTATTTAGCAATTGTCGCTTACTTTCTTACTCCTGCGTTCAAGTCTCCAGAGATCTGCATAATAACATTAGGCACATAGGCAGACTTAGTGTGCGAACTTACATGCATATCGTTTTGTCTGTGAGTTTCAATAATAAGCCTGCGGAAGTTGGTAAAGTATAAAGGTTGAGTACATCGTAAGCACCATCATACCTCACCAGGACTGGGAACGTATCTCTATAATTCAATAGGAACCTAGTGGCCTAACAATGAAAATTGAATAGAGTGGATCTTCTCAATTCCAGAGGTACAAACATACAATGATTAGACTTTTCGAGGGCCACTCGCTTAAAAATCACATCGAGAATGGCAATAAAGTCTAGAATCTTTTACTCAAGGCAAAATTTGTGTAGGTACTTTATATCACTCATATTTCCCAGCGTTTTTTTTCCGTGTGACCAATGTTACAGACCAATTTCACTGGCTCAGCACTGAAGGTACCTTTCATGCAAGTTAATTCAAATTGTCTTGAATTATTACAAAATTGTGTACTTCCAATACAAAAGTACTCTCCGAAAATTGTTGTATCAGTTCACCTTAACACGTATTCTTCAATTAACACACCATGGCTGACGCAACATGTTGTGTTTGCAGTGATCTCACGATTTTTTACGATGTTTTTTTTTCGTTGTTGACAATCAAATTCTCCTGAAGAGAGGTGTAAGAATACCTTACCTAAACGTACGGATATCTCGCAAACATATTTCCGTTCTTTCACACGTTTGATTTCAGTTATTACTTATGAACACATACTTTTGCCTTCTTTCTTTTACTTAAGTGAGGAGAATATGAAATAATGTTGTAAAATTACGGATTTCTAAACTTTTAACAAAAAGAAAAAAAAATCTACCCGATGGAAAAAAAGCTTAATTGGAAACATTGTTGCCAAATAGTGCTAAAATAAGCACTTACCCCCATTTAAACCCATAAATATCCACATTTTGTCACGTAATCTGGCAACTTTGGTCAGACGCTCCGAGTAAGTCGAATCCATCACGACCAACTGCGGACAGTGAGACAGGTCGTATTTGTATGATTCTGTGCTTTATGTAAGCGCCTTCATTGCATCGATGATGCAACACACGTGACAGTTCCACTTACAGATTTTATCAGACTCTCGCTGAAACGGATATTTGATGATCGAAGAGTGAAAATAAAAAAATAGCGACATCAGGTGTTGCCTGAGATTTTGAATGGTGTTCCTCGTTATAAATGGACCAAATGCCTTTCTAAAAAGATTGAAAAACTCCTAAAATTTCCCAAAATTTTAGTTCTGATTCTACGCGGAGTTTTCATTTTCAGATCAGTAGACTCTAGTTAGATGAATAAAAAGGTTACATAATCATAGAAACGTCTGCTGGTGTCTACATTTTTTTGCCTCTCCTTTCTCAATTTCATATTTTCTTTCACTTCATTCCTCAGAATAATTGGAAGTATTCCTGGAAAATGGCCCGAAGTTACAACTTTCATATAACAACGTGGTGTGGCGTAAACCCTTCCCGCCATAGTGTCATATGTTTTTAAAACTGGTAGACTACCAAAAATCTTTTCATGCTGAAATGAACAGAAATGAGAGTTAGCAAAGTAAAAATCTCGGATCATTGTTTCGAGAGTTGGCAATAGCGGAGATTAAAGTCTGTGGACCTCCGATTTCAAATGTTTTTCCGTGAGAAAATGAACCACGGTGTTTTAAAAGGCGTGTGTTTCTAGTTTAAACGGGCTTCACGAATTTTCAGACAAAGGGGGCGTTTTCCTCACTTTTCATTTTTAGAGAAGATTGAAAATACAACAGTTCAACGTTTAGAATTCAAAAAACTAAATGAACTATATTTTGCCATTGGGAGCTACAATTTCTGGCTCTGCTGGAAAAACCCACTGCTTCCCCCTGGAGGCTGTTTTTCTCACTTTTCATTTTTAGAGAAAATTGAAAATACACCTGTTCAACGTTTAGAATTCAAAAAACTAAATGGACTATATTTTGCCATTGGGAACTACAATCTCTGGCTCTGCTGTAAAAACACCTCTGTCCATAGGGAAACGAATGGTATATACGTTGTTCCTAAACTGAGTCGGAAATTACAGCTTCTAACTGCAAAATGCAGTCCAATTAGTGCACTTACGTCTATGAAAAAACACTCTGGACACGTACCTCTTGATAGGACTTTTTTCAAGCTTTTTTTGGCGGTAGTGCAGTTCCACCTCCTGTTACGGAACTGGAACTGACACTCTCGAGTTCCGAGCTGATACCCACGGCTGATTTCTTTCAGGAGTGCTGGTTCCTTTTTGCAAATTTCGCCCATCCGCCCTTTCAGCCGTCTGGTTTTTCTACACAGCTGCATTGGTTCCAGAACAACTTCGCTCCCAGATACCCTGCAATGAAATCAAAACATTAAACCCAAACGTTATTCATTCTCAGGAGTAAAGAGTTAGTCAAATGTAATTCATTTTGATCATTTGGCAGGGTTAAGAAAAGAATGGAAATTCCCTAATAAGAAAGTTACAGTCTTCATATATATACCGTTCGTTCCGGGCTCAGAGGCTGAAAGCTCCGGGTGCTGGAGTCGAAGCGTCGTCTACTTCTGATGTTGCACCTGAGACTTCCGGCCTCTGAGCCCGGAACCTGGAAGATATGTCTATACAGCCCGTAAGTATGGCTTCCACGGCCGGAGTTTTTTTTTTTTCAGTGTGGTAACCATACCATTAGGTACCGCTAAGATACCTATTGCACTAATTCTCTCAAAGAACTGCTGCAACTGAAACATATTGTTCAGGTGAATAATATGCAATTATCAAAAGAATGAAAAAATAAAAGGAATTTGCGTTTAACAGCACCATTTTATATAGTAGTCACACAGTAATTTAAGTATATTTCAGTCTGTGTAATTTAAAGTATGCGCTCTGATGATCGGAGATAACGTGAAAATCGTCAGCAGTATGACTGTAGGTAAATAAATTTTTCAATACGGTCATAAAGTGGCGGGTCCACACTTTTTTACGGGGAAAGTAAGGCAAAAAAGTTAAAATAAATTAGGATTAAAGATACGGCTCGGGCCAATTTTTTTAGTTTTTTCCTTGTGAATAAATTGTAATAACTTCACTGAAAAAACATCCGGCCATATAGGAGCCGTGCTTACGGGCTGTACGTCCGTGTTTCGGGCATAGCACTCGGAAAAGTCGAAGCTACGGCTCCAGCACCCGGAACTTTCGGCTGTTAAGCCCAGAACGGACAATATGCCTGTACAGCCGGTAACTTTATTCATCGATCATTATTTTACTGTGTTTCAACTAAAAAATTCAATCTAAAATTCAAAATCACAAAATAACGAATGCTTCCATGTCGGAGGGAAAGTGACTGTTAATGATGTAACAGGTTCATTCACAGTTATTTCGATTTCAAGTTCCCGTAATATTTAGTGAGACCCTATAGTGTATTTATATCCAGCGGTCCCCTATCAACAGAGTCAAATAAAATACCAATTCCTCTCATCGCATAATATACCAATAAATCTTCCTTAATTAAGTCTTCCGCTCACTGAATCGGGGAGGGGAAAAATTTTGTGAACAGAAATGTTGTCCTCCAGTCCGATGATAAATACTGCCGTGCTAAAGAAAAACGCTGTGTGAACCTTTAACGTTGCAAAATTTCCTTTGATAAAAACAGAATTTACAGAGAAAATTGTGAATATTTTTTTTCCAAAATTGTCGGACTATTTTGTTCACAATTTTATCCAAAATATCTGGAAGTTTCAAGGAAATACATGTAAAAATGTTGTCAAAGTCCATTTCTCCACCTTGCTACATACAGTTGGGGCCATTTCTCAGCGTTTTTTTTTTTGCCCTCATTACCCCCATGTTGTTGACAATTGATGATTCCATCTGCAACTGGGGGTCAATCCACCCGCGCTCTACCCGGTGCTATATCGTAGGAGGGCGAGGAATTTGAGGTGTGACGACCACGTGTCCGGCATACGTGCAGGTGAAAACGGTCCACGTGTTAATTGAATTGCGTGTTAACAGGATTAACACCCACGAGTTGTTTGTTTCTGGATGGCCCGCGCGGCGCAGGATGCATCACTTCCGACCCGGCACACTCGGGATCGAATCAATAGAGAAAGTCGGACAAAATTTGGAAACTTCAATCGCTAATAACTCCGTTCATACAAAACTTTGAGGTTCTGAAAGTGGATCCATTGGTTTCCTCGTAAAATTTTCTTCCTTTAGCACCCCTTGAAATTTAAAATGTGACGAAATAAACATCGAAATTTGCAGTTTTAGTGAAAAATTTCATGTCCGACCTATCCAATTGACTCGATCCACTGTGCGGCAGCCTAAGCCGCGTTCTGCCGTGCTAAGAAAAAACACCGTATGAGCCTCCAAGCGTTGCTAAATTTCCTTTCCCAATCGATAATTTCCAGGAAAATTTGTGAGTATTTTTCCTCCAAATTCTCAGATAATTTTTTTCGTAACTTAATCTAAAATATATGTAAATTTTAAAGAAAAATATGCATGACTATCCTCAAAAGTACACGTTCTATCCTGGGAAATTTGGCAACTACCGAATGTTCATACGGTGTTCTTCCTTAGCACGGCAGCACCGCCCGCGCCCAAAATCAATCGAATCTTGCGGGCCGCATTCCTCATAGTTCACTGAAAAAAAAAACATTGGATCTAGAGTCCAGACTCTTAAAAACATCGACAAGAAAAAGTACTCCTGATTCAATCAGAATCTAGCTTAAATCAAGAACCAAGCCTCTTAATTTAAGCGGATTTTGTTTTGATTCAAGCAAAAATCCGATTGAATCAAGAATATTTTTTCTTGTCAATGTTTTCAAGAGTCTGGACTCTAGATCCAATGTTTTTTTTCCGGTGTTCAGTAATTCGATGAAAGCCGATATAAACCGTCGCCTCAAAAAATTGATTCTCTGAAGACCGTTCGATCATTGTTATTTTGATATTGCTGATCAGACAAGCATTCTCCAAATCACGGAATGAAAATTCTGTGAACCGACTTTTATGTAAACTTTACACTCTAATTTCTCTTTGAGGCGCAGATATTAGGCACTTTAACATTTTTTACATGTTTTGTGAGATATGTTAATTTGGAAATATGTATGATGAATAGTACTCTAGTTTTGCCTTGAAGCCAAAAACAATCAGTCTGCACCCGCCCCTGCACCCACCCATGAAAACAACCCGCGGAAAACAGAAATCTAATCTTAGATCGAACGAGTAAGATACACACCGAAACAATACCTAAATTCACATCAAAATACTGCCGTGTTATTCGAGAGTTGCCAAATTTTGCCGGATAAAACTTGTATTTTTGAGGAAATTTTTGTATATTTTTTCTTGAAATTTTTAAATGTTTTAGATTAAATACCAAACAAAATTTTCTGAAAACTTGGAAGAAAAATGTTCACAATTTTCTCAGTAAAATTGTTTTTCATCGAAGAAAATATGGCAACGTCTGAGGGCTTTTACGACGTTTTCCGCAGCACGTCAGAATACGACTTTGAGGTACTTTATTGGTCATGAAAACGAGTCGGAGACGTTTTATGACGTTGAGCAGTGCATGAGAAAGTCCAGCCCGTAAAGGAGCGCGAAGGAACGGAAGAGGGAGAGAGGGGAAGCAGAAGGAGGAGGGAGAGGAGAAGGAGATAACTCCTCTGGGAGGCAGTGAGGGAATTCTATTTGTAGGAACCGGGAGCTGGGAACCAATGAGAAACCTGCCCCGTCTCCTGGTCCAGCCTTCGGGTGGAAAACTCCACTCACCGGCTGCGTCTCAGCCTCCCGCTTCAGGAAGGGGAGGCTATTCTTGCGGACGGGATGGATCTTCCGACTCCAGAATCCTGCACTGCCGTACTAAGGAAAAACGCCGTATGACCCTTCGGGAGTTGCCAAATTTCCTTCGGCAAACCACGAATTTTCGGAAAACTTGTACATATTTCTATTACGATTTTTCAGATGGTTTTGTTGGTGATTTGATCTATATGGCTGAAAATTTCAAGGAAAATATTCATAGCTTTTTTCAAAAATAGACATTTTATCAGAGGAAATTTGGCAACTATCGAATTTTCATACGACGTTCTTCCTTAACAGTTTCACAAAACACGAATTTTTAGGAAAACGTGTAAATATTTCTATTACGATTTTTCAGAGGGGTTTGTTCGTGATTTGATCTAAAAGTCTGAATCGAGGAAATATATTCATAACTTTTCTCAAAAATAGACAGTTTATTCGAGGGAATTTGGCAACTCTCGAATTTTCATACGGCGTTCTTCCTTAACAGTTTCACAAAACACGAATTTTTAGGAAAACGTGTAAATATTTCTATTACGATTTTTCAGAGGGTTTTGTCGGTGATTTGATCTATATGGCTGAAAATTTCAAGGAAAATATTCATAGCTTTTCTCAAAAATAGGCATTTTATCAGAGGAAATTTGGCAACTATCGAATTTTCATACGACGTTCTTCCTTAACAGTTTCACAAAACACGAATTTTTAGGAAAACGTGTAAATATTTCTATTACGATTTTTCAGAGGGTTTTGTTCGTGATTTGATCTATAAGGCTGAAAATTTCAAGGAGAAATATTCATAACTATTCTCACAAATAGATATTTTATTCGAGGAAATTTGGCAACTCTCGAATTTTCACACGGCGTTCTTCCTTAACACGCCGGCAGTACACTCGTGCTTACTAAGTGTAGACCTCCCGGAGGAAATACATTAAATGGACCACATTTTTCAATGGGGATTTACAATTTATAACTCATTCACAAAGTCATCTTGGGGGCCGTTCAAGTATTCTGCCTTGCTGAGGAAAAACGCTGTATAAGCCTTCAAGCGTTGCCAAATTTCCTTGGATAAAACACGAATTTTCTAGGAAACTTCGAAATATTTTCCTTCCAATTTTTTTTAGATAATTTTGTTCGCAATTTCATCTAAAACATCTGAAAATTTCAAAAAAAAGGAGCATAAATGTGGTAAGAAATACAGGATTAATTTTAGAAAATTCGGCAACTCTCGAATGGTTCAATTAAAACCAAATCAAAAATTTGATTCAGCAGTAAATCAATACAACTCCAACGCTAGCTTTCTTATGCGTTTGCACATCATGAGAAAAATAGTTTACTTTTCTGTAGCTGCGTTTAAGTCTCCGAGGCTGGTCATCGAAACCAACGCATTGGCGCATTCAGCAAATTGCTAACATTGTTTTTCTCAATTTAAATCTATGGATTTGTATCGATTCTTGGAGGGACCAGGTGTTCCGACAAGAATCGATTATTTAGCGTAGGTTTAAATGGAGGAAATCCGGTGTTGCCAAATTGCTGGATCCGCCTGTGAACCAACAGCAGATCGATACCTTTAC